GACTGCTGATCAATAAAGAGCCATTAAAAGAATATACGTTTTTGTATCTATTGGTGTGGCTACTACAGAACCTTGACTTTTGTATGCATGATGATACATCCATTGGATTAGAATGAAGCAACATGACTGATCACTTTTGAAAGTAAGGTAGCAAACAGCATTACATATAATAGAGGAAGAGAAGGACAGTAAATAAGAGCAGTCAAGTTCTACTGTAAATTGTATATTGTATCGGACATTATCACAATTACCGTATACCGGTTTATTTTTGCAACTTTGTGTTTTTTGCTCCATTGCTAAAATTAAAATCACAAAATTCTTTATTTCCATTGCCATGTGGTGCACTTTGCAAGCTATTCACAAAAATTTTTCACTGCAAAAATAAACCTGTACACAGTACTTCTTAATTTCAAAGTGTAGTGCATGTAACCAATATCATGTACAGTATGTATTATGTGTATATGTGATGTGTATGTATTACACATCACATATACACATATGTATATACACATATACACATTCTTCTTTAACATTTAGTCACTATGATAGTAAAGACAATACATAGCATTAAATTTGGGAGTGCAGTACTGGAATGATAATAATGATAACAATGACGTATTCAATGACCAATGAAAGCAACTCCCACTTGTCGTGTCCTTTTTACGGCAGAAGTGACTTGGGAATTACTTGATTACTGTAACGTCTTATAATAATAATTACAAGATGATTGATGTCTCTCAGTGGAGAGCAAGTATTGGACTGTGGAACTACTGTCAAGCTGCCTCCAGTAGACCAGCTAATGGCCGCCACTCTCACTCATTCAAAGCTGCAGTAGACAGCAAGTCAGGCAGTACTACATCAGGAGAGAAGACATCTAAACTGCCAGTAGCTCTGTCTCTTATTGCTTTCCTCCTTTTTCTCTCTTTATTAAGACACATCTTGATGATTCCTCCAACAGGTAAACAACAATTGCAACTTTGTACTTGTATATTTACTGGTATTTTATTATTAGGTAACTGCTACCAAGTACAATGTACTACTGGTGTTACTGTTACTGATACAAATTACCTCCAGTCAGTAGTCTTACCTGGAGGCAGCAGTTCTAACCTGATTTACAATGATCTCTATTTGATTGTTTGTCTACGTATGCTCCTCCTCTTATCAGGAGATGTTGAACTCAATCCTGGTCCTATAACAGGTACACTTGGTGAAGGTAATAATTGCTTACTATCTTATAATAGGCAAAGAACTTAATATGAAAGCAGTCATGAAGATATTTCAATCTTCTGATTATCATTACCTGACAATAGGGACTGGATTGGGTGTGAATACAGCTGATTTGATAGAAATGCAAGGCACAGCAAATACCAAACTTCATTTGGTATTCCAGAGATGGTTTGATGCTGATAGAGATGTCAATTGGGATACATTAATAAAACTGTGTGATGACTTTCCTGATCAACTGGGCAGAGCAAAATCTATTCTTCTGGCATATATAGGTAAGTTAAAAACTTAAATAATTATAAATTAAAAAATAATTTATTATATAAAGACACATCAGTCAGTGATGATCTCTCTCTACAGAATTATCATCAACATCTCAGTTGTTGGTAATGCACATACTGCAAGTATTTTGCAAACACTAAACTAGCTAGTGAATCTGTTGTTAATTTAGTTATTAATTATGCTCTTAAATTAGAATATGACAATCTTACTTTATATTATATCAATAGGTAGTCCTTCTTATGGTATAACTACTCCTTTCAAAAGTAAAGCAAATGAAGAGGAAGTATGTAAGTCTTTTGATGAGTTATATAAAAGGTTTTTTGATTTAGCTGATTCTTTTAATAAGTCACTTCAAGAAAAAATAGAACACAACAGCCAACTAGCCACTCAGGTATCTGAATGGCTCATAAAACAAATGGACTGGGAATATGGCTCAGTAGAAAGTAATTTAGATGATATCTTAAGAAAGATCCATCCTTATTATGACTTTATTGATTGTAAACTGTTATTAGACATGAGTATAAAATTCCTGCCAGATGTAACAATTACTGACGATGGAGTAACTTATAAACTAGTTGATGAATTATACAGCCATAATCGTATGAGTAAGAGGCTGTGTACATCAAACACAGTTTCTACACTCCAAAAGTTACTGGAGGAACACTATAAGCCTTTATATAAAAGCATGGATAATCTACCTTGCATTAACATACACCTTCAAACTCGCTGGAATCACATAAGCATAAGAGGATTATATAAACTTATTGAAAAGTTACTGCCTCAAAAAGACAAACAGCCAAAATACAGACAGTTAATTATTAAACATATTACAATAAGAAGTAAATGTGTTGTCATCAAGTTATATATTCTTGACATTACAGCTGATAGTCTAATAGAATATGCTAGAGGAAAGTTACAGTTTATGCGTCTCATTGGTGTATTTAGTTTATACATTAATGATCATGTCCTTCAAGAAGATGAGAATATGAACTTCACCTTTGAACTAGCTCTCTTTGAGGCAGTCACAGCTGGTAATAATGAAGCAGTAGAGTTTCTTCTTCAACTAGAAACTGTTAATATTGATCATACTAATGAAAAAGGCAAGACAGCACTAATGTTAGCTTGTGAAAGAGGACATGAGGACATTGTACACAGTTTACTGTCTGCTGGAGCTAATGTTAACATTCAGGACAATAAAGGACAGACAGCACTGATGATTGTAAGCCAATATAATCACATTTCAATCATTCACATGTTACTACAAGCTAATGCTAATCCTCACCTGAAGGCATCAGATGGATCAAATGCATTACTGATTGCTAGTTACTGTGGTAACTATGAAATTGTTGAACTATTGATT